TGTCTGTGTACAGGTGCCTGGTACTTGTTGCATCAAGAACTACACAGAACATAATACCATAGAGGTAGGTGGGGACTTGCACAAGATGTTTCACATGCAAACATCCAAAGGCTTCCCAAATGCTGCCACCCACCTGCTGCTGGCCTGTGAACTCCTGGCATCTGTCATGTCCCCATCAGACCCAACGGAGCAGCCTATGCCCATTTTTGATGCAGAGGGTGCTTTTTTTTTTTGGCCTTTGGGGTTAAACAAGAGCAGCAACTGACTGCTTTGTGTGGGGAATGGTTATTAAGGCGACTTGTAGGAATTCCTTGGCACCAGTACTAGCACAAGAAAGGAATTAGAAGAAAAATGTTCAGCCAGAGTCAGCCAGAACCAGAGCAGAGGCAGAGCAAGCCAAGGGGATGTGCTATACTGTGTTTGTATTGGTGCCTCAACCTGGCTCTCCCACCGGCAGCAGAGGGGCCCTGTGTGGCAAAGGTGCTTTGTAGAGGCACCCCTCACAACCTGTGCAAACCTCTGTGCAGAGTCCCCTGCAGCACTGGTTGTCCCCACTGACCCCTGGGCTCGTCCTCCTGAGCTATAAAGGTGCTTAGGAGACTCAAGCTGTGCGTTTTCCCTCTGTTTCTACTTCTGTGATAGTACACCGCCCACAACATACAGATGTGAGCTTTCTCTTACAACATGGCACAAAGCTGCTTGTGGTAATCAAGAAAACTTAGAAAACTAATATGTGCAAGTGATTTTCAAATGGAAATAATCCTGTTTTGGGGGCATTTTCACTTTGAAAGATGGTTCAAAGGCACAAGAGGAAAGGTCAGGGTGGGCAATGAGCCGCCAGGTATGGGAGTACAATTTTCTGTAGGCTTTAGTGACTTTATTTTTGCGTTACAGATGCTCTCCTTGCTCAAAACTGCTGCCTTCCCCATCTGCTCATTTTCCCCAGCTCACATCCCATCTATAAACGGACAATAACTTTTTGTTTGGATTGGCTTGCTGTCAAATTTACACAGCTGTCCCATATAATGATCTGGTTTCAGCTGATGGTGAGCTGTTTAGTAGATATAAGAGCATTTGCTCTTAAGAATTGTGAGGGCATTCAGCTGCTTGTATCCATTGAAGTACTGATAAACGGGAAGATAATTAAAAAAAAAAAATGGGGCAGTGGAAGAAGGTGGTACCTGGTCTCTGGGCTTGTTTGCACAGTGGCTTAAAATCTACAAGATGAAACTAGTGTAGTTGGCACAGTGAGAGAGTGCAAGCCTGTCTGTAAAGACAGCAGCTGCTAGGGCAAGAGACCGCTGTGACTCACTGTAAGGTAGGGCAAGGTGTTGTAGCATGTAAAGCTAAAACACTTGTAAGCAAGGGGGTTATGTCCAGACCTGGAAAGCGTAGTACTACATGAGTTTGGTGGCTTCTTTTATGTATAAAAGAAAATTCTGCAGTTTGCTGAACTGTGTCCTCATCAGAGCTACAGTTCTACATGGTATTGTTTACAGACTGGATTGGAGAAAGTTATTAAGCTTTTAGCCTTGTAACAGAATATCCCTCTCCTGTTTGGCCTGAGGAGTGAGCTCTGATTTCCTCAGATTTAAATAGTTATGTTATAGAGTTCATCAGATTATTGCTTTGCATAAAAGTATCTCTGTGTGTTTGGTCTAATGATTCCACTTGATTTCCAAGTTCCTGCCTAAAAAAAAAAAAACAAACAAATACAAATTTTTGGGTGAAATTCCCAATGGGCTGTGCTGTTCTTGTTAGGCTTTAAGTGAAAGCCGTGGAGTAAGTGAAATTGCTGTGCAGTGGAGAAACTGGTTTCCATAAGCTTTCATGTTCCAAAGCAGGCAGCTCCTGGCCTGAAACTTTCCGGGCACAGGGCCAGACTTTACAAACCTACAGATGGGAAAGGGGAAAATGGGTCTGCATAGAAGACTTTTGTCACCCTCAAACTAAATTAGACTATCCTTTAGACTGCTCTCATTTGACCGAAAACAGAGCAGTCAGAGCTTAAAGGGTGCTAAAATTTTCTTGAAACGATGCTAGTAATACACAGTTCTAAGGCCATTAGCACCTTTGTTACATATCTTAAATATTATGGGGGGTTTGAAAAAGGTTGAGCAAGACACTGCTTGTGATTTATAACTTTCCTTACAATTCAGTATATATCAGAGGCAGCTCCAATGTCACTGATTCAAGCTTGGAAAGTCCCAAGGGTGGAGTCAAGAAACGCAAAGTACCCCAGTAGCTTTTTCATTTTGTCTAGCTGAAAAGTGATTTGGACCACATGGCTTAAAAATGCGCAGACCAAACCTGATTATGGTACATGTGCTGCTTCTGCTGGAGGTTTCTGCCCACTCTTGCTGGTTGATGGCTGTGCCGGGCACATCAGCAGGAGCAGGGACTCTGTGAGAGCCTGGATGAGGCCTAAGAAAGATTCACTGTGGAGAGACTCTACGGGTGTCTGTACCCACCACACAATTGACCTACTGCCCAGGTATTCCTCCTGCAGATAGCTGAGAGATTACTGTATTTTGAGGGGTACCACAGTACCACACAGCGCAAGCAAACAGGATCACTGTCTGAAACAGATTCTAACTACCTTAATACCATGTTGGGTTAGAGTTTCTATCGACAGTCTTGTTAGTGCATTTGGAGTTCACTTTCCAAAAAGGAATATTACCTGAGATGCAGAAACGTCTTACTGGGAGACAGTGAGGCTTGAGAAAACCCATGCATTATCTTCTGCCCCTCTTCTGAAGTATTGCATGTTCCTGATGGTAATCACTGAACCCTATGTCAGGTTGTGCCTTACATAGCTTACTGGTGCTGTAAAAGATGTGTGTGTGTGTCTCTGGTACACAGTAGTGTACCAGATAAGTGAACCATGGATAAGCTCACTCATATGCACGGCATGTATGTTAAGGGAGGGACAAGAAGTGTAATGAAGATGAGTCTGTTAAGGTTAAACTAAGATGCTTCAATCAAAGCACCTGCACAAGCAAAAGGAAGATTGAACTGTAGTGTCTACCTCCCACTGCTCTGGCCTGGAAGGGCTGACTGCTCTGGTCTGTATTAAAACTGTGCAGCACTGCTGTGAGCCTTGCTGCAGCATTCAGGTTCTCCAGACCTTACCTAGCCCATCCGTATTTTTTTCTTGAAATCTGGCTGTTATTACTCTGTATTACAATGTTCTGTCGTGTCTCTTTGCAGTCTTTTTGGTTCATGCTGGCAAAAATGACCGCTTCAGCTTTCTCCTATTTTCGGTCTGGTTTGGTCTCTGCTCCCCTCTGTGACCTACAGTTGTTTGTTGGAACTCTGTGTTTCTCTGTCTAGAAGGGCTGCTTTGTCCTTGGAGTCCTCAAGCAAGCAGACCTCCATGGCAAGCTGACCCAATTAAATCTCAACACAGGGAAAAGGCATGTATAACCAGCCAGGCATAGCCTTGGCAGCCAGCAAAAGCAAATACACCCTGCTTGTGAATCCATCTTACCCCTAGGAGGAGGAGGAACGAAGGACTGCTCATGAGCTCTCCTTGCTGTGTGCTGTTGATGAGCCTGCTTCTCAAACATGGCTAGAAGCCAGTGCAGACCCTGGCAGCATGCTTACTATGCCAAGGGCAATGCCTCCTCCTTCACAACTTGCCCTTGCTATGTGATGGATGTGTTTGAGGCTGGAGCAGCTGGCACAGCTCGTTCTCTTGGGAAAGCCAGGGCAGCTTCCCAGGCCATGGGGCACCCTGATGGGTTAAGTGAAATAGCAGTGTGTGGGAAGGAAATAAGAGGCCCATAATCCGGTGTTTACCCAGCTTCCCATGTGGGCCTGTAAATGTGAGAGGGGACAAAGCCCCTATATAGCAAGGGTTAAGATATAGTTGGTGGGAATGTTTCCATCAGGGCAGCTTTCAGTTTAAAATAAATAAATGCATGCTGGCACAAGTGGATTCTGACAAAAGGCTAGACAGGAAAATATTTCTACAACCGTAAGATATTTCAGCTGATTTCATAGAAGCATTTCTCTGAATTAAAGCATTAAGAGCTGTTCAGCTCTTTTTAAAACAAGCACAAAAAGGGAAGAAAAAAAAATAACCAAAATATTTCACACTCCATTCCTAAGCCTTAACCTGTCACAGTAGCTAGTGCAAGCCCTGTGATAACTTTGCTGGGGTTGGCATTACTGAAAGTTAGCCTTAAATGTGCTGGTCCTATTTTACCCTAGGGATGCTTCTGGACTTATGGTATGCAAGTCTGAGTAAGGGATGGGAGGGACCTCTCAAGTCTCTCCAGTCTGTGCTTTACTGTAAGATGTAGCACATGTATGGTGTGGGGTGTGGCTGTGTTTGTCGTGTGGTAAGCTTTTTTGAAGGCAGGAAGGTAGAAGAGGGTTTGTTAGGTTTAGAGTCCTGTTTTGGTGTGCTCCAGATCAGTACAGGTAGAAGGAGTTAGTAATAATGAGCGAGTGGCTTATTCTGTTGTAGCAGAACTCACTGAGCCTCAGTGGAGTTTTATGCTGAGAAATTACCTGGTTGTAATTTGCACGTTGTGTCGGTGCCAGAGGCCAAAACATTCATGAGGAAGGGTGTGTGTGGGAAGAAGCAGTGGAAAAATTGCAAGGAGCTTCAGTCAACAGGGTTGAATGTAGGGCTCCTGACAAGGGAAGCCACATTTATTAAGCAACTTGATCTCTCCCTGTGAGGTCATACGTGAAAATGCAGGTGGAGTCACGTCTGAGGGCGTTGCCCCATGGAATTTGTAGATAAAGATGATTTATACCTGTGTGTTCCTAGCACAGAAGAGGCCAGTTACATTCTGCAGCTTCTGGAGGGAATAAGCCTCCTGGGGAGTACAGTTATTCCAGTTTTCTTGTGGTGAGTTTATTGAAAAGAACTCTTCTTTCTTTCTCTTCTCCCTATGCTACATTCAAATCTCAGTTACACTAGACAAGAGGTGTGATACATGTTGTTTTTTTCACCAACAGACCCAGGCATCACTACTGAGACTGCAATGGCATGGTGGAAGGCATGGGTGAGTAGAGGAAATACCGAAGTAAGACACCTTGGCTTATAAGTTGCATCAGGCACTGTGTGGGAATGAAATGTTTCCCCTTAAAAATCAGCCAGACCCATTTACTGATTTTTCTGGCTATAAAATAGCCTTCAGCACTTCCAAAACCGTAATAAAGGAAGGTGTTAACATGATTGCTGGCTTTAAGAACAGCAGCTGAGAGTGGTGCAGGGGGTGTTTGTGTGCCTTTGTACATGGGGAGACAGTACCAGGGAGCAGCAAAGTAACACAGTTGAGGTCTGCATTGGGTCTGAAAGCTGCAGACACTTCATCTGCTCCCTTCTCTTGTGACAGCGAGTTCAGGGCTCTGGCCTGTCTCCATTTTGGTGCCCAGTTGTGCTGGCAGGCTGTGGTCATGGAGGGAGATGTGGTCAAGCCGCAGTGTCTTTTTCCTTGGTGGGTTTTTAATATTACAATGATGATGTGGACTTGGACATCTGATCTGTCTCCTAAGAACTAGAAATGCTGTGTAGGTTCTCTTTTAAGCTCTTCTGGCTTTGGGAGGAATGTGGCAGGATGGGGGCAATGCTCCTGGGGTACGCTGAGGCAGCCTCCAGGGTATGGCTCAGGCCAGGTGTGAGGCAGCTCTGGTGATGTGCATAGCTCTGTTGCCATCAATGGCAGCTCTCCCATTAGCCTATATGGAAGGCCAGTTTGCACCCACACTTTATGTCCAGATACCTATAAGCTGAGACCTAGAAAAGACCTGATGAAGACATGGGATGGAGGAATACTGGTAGAGAAGTCTTCTTTCACTGCCCAGCACCACTTCCAGTAGTGCACAGGTTTTCTCTTGACTGCTTTTGTGTCATCTTTGGAAAGATTTGTGTGTCCTCCCTGCCTTGTTATGAAGAAGGCTTCATGTTTGAGCAGCCTGTGCAAGGGCTGAGCTGAGCAGGGGTCCTCAAAGGGGCCTCTGCTGCCATGTGCCAGCAAAGGTGCCCAGAAAGCGTAGGAGAGCTGTCTTGCAGTGGATTGTATTACCTCAGGTGCAATACATCATCAAGGAGTGAGAAACAGCTTTGCATGGAGATGACCATTTTTTAGGTTCTCAGTCATGATTTTGTAACTGAGGGGTGGGAATTGGAGAAAAGCAAACACAACAGAACACCTTGGGGGCTGGGAAATACCAAGCTAATTCCTACTTTGCTTCAGATAGACAACTTTTCTGATCTCAAAACTTATCACAATTTTTTTTCTCCAGAAAGATTAATCTTCATTTCTGCTGATCTTCCTCTGCCTCTCTAGTTCCTTTTGGATCAGTTCATCTGAGAAACAAGACCAAACTGAACAGGGTTACCCTGGAAACCTGTTGTCATTGTACCTGTGCTGGAACAATTAAATACATGGAGAATGGGGTGTGAAGTGTATGAGTGAGTCATGAGTGCACTACTTGAGCCAGGATGGGAAGTCAATGTTTATTGGAATCGATATAAAAAAAAAAAAAGACTATTGTTCAAGTTGTTTCCACTGCCTCCAAATGAAAGCTTAGCTTTGCACTCCCTCTTTCTCTGACTCACCAGGCACAGGTCCAGAGCGTTTCTTTCACACAAGCCTTTATACGCAACTAAAGAGGATTGTCCATCTTTTTTACAGCAAAATCAAATAGTTATGTGTAACCTGCTTTCCAGGGCAGTTGTGATGGTGCTGGCTGACTTCACAGGGGAGCAGAAAAGAAGCGCTTGCAATGGTCCTACCAGCTCAGCCAAACTTCCTGTTCCACACTGTTGTGGGTTTGTGTGGCAAGGTTTTGGTAGCGGGGGGGGGCCTATATGGGTGGCTTCTGTGAGAAGCTGCGAGAAGCTTCCCCCATGTCTGATAAAGCCAGTGCTAGCTGGCTCTAAGACAGACCCACCACTGGCCACGGCCCAGC